TCGTTTTCAAATGGATTGTCTATTTTTTTGGAACTATTGCATTTCAATTCCAAGACCTTCAATGTCCAGTAGAAGTGCTTTCCGTCAATGTTCCTCTTCTTGAGGTGGTTTTTGACCCTGTGACCCGAAGCCATGACAGAACAGTTCATAGCATTTCATAACTCCATGCGCTATTTTTGTGGAGGATTCTGTAGATCATTCATACGGGCCAAACTATAAGGTATAGCGGCATATGGTTCTGGTTCTGCTTCTAAGGTACGAATTCGAGTTTGTTACACTTGCTCGGATCATGTGCGGGACGCTAAGCCTCCTGGCTGGAAATCTGAGCAGGAAGAAAAAAGGGAGGGAGGGAGGGAGGGAGGGAGGGAGCATACATTTGCTTCAAGTCGATCAGGTTCTTGATGAGCGTCCCTTTATCCCTTGGGTCCTGACGCGACGGAGTCAGTGGGAGGGGAGGAGAACAGGAAGAGAGGGAAGAGTAGGATGTGAAGTTTGAGGTGAGGTGAGGGAGAGGAGAGAAACGAGGAGAAAGGGGGGGGAGCGGCTCACGTTGTCATCTTTCTCGACAAAGATCCCTGCCCATTCAGCTCTATTTGTGATGAGCTTGTTCTTGTTTGGGCCGTGGGAATGGTAATCTGCATACCTAGGGGCGATGGACATGCAGAAGGAGCTTCATGCGAGCATGGCTTCCTCCGCCGACCTCGACTGACGTTGCAAACGATCTGAACACAAGACGTGAGTGGAGTAGATAACACATCGCTCTTTCCTTCCCCTTTACACGCTCTCCTGCTCAGGAGGCCTCACGTCCTCCTCCATAATACTTAGGTCCCCTCTTCCTTCCTTCCATCTTCCTATCTCCTCCTCCTCCTTTTCCTCTTCTTGCTCCTCCTCCTCCTCCTCCCCTCCTCCTCCTCCTCCTCCTCTCCCTCCCTTTGCACAACTGTCTTCCCCTTCCCGCCATTTCGCTTCTCGTTCACTACCCCCCACCCCCTTTTCCTAGAAATCCCTGTTGCTATACTACCCTCGGACTCTCATCACCCCCAATGAATTCCCTCACCCCTCATTGCATATTGAATGTACCCATCAATTAGGATGAAATATTCTCAAATTTGGTACCTACCCCATATTTTAGGGGAAATCTTGATCAAGTAGGGGTCATCAAAGAACCCCTACCCCCAACATTCACTTTGAAAATTCTTCCGTAAGCTCAGTCATGATCGAAAATGATCCGGGAAGGGAAATGTGGCGAAGAGAGGGGAGGGGAGGAGAGGAGAGCAGAGGAGGAGGAGAGGAGGAGGAGGAGAGGAGGGGATGGAGTGATTGAGTGAAAGAAGGGAGGAGGGGAGCAAGAGAGGAAGAGAGGAAGAGAGGAAGGGATGAACGATCGAGGAGTGTAGGGGGGAGGCCAAGGATAAATCGGTGGATGCGGTGGAGTTCATTCAAGAAGAATGGGATCATTATTCAGCAGAAAATTATCTTTGAAAGATTCTGAGTCTCGGGTGATGAGAAAATCTGTTTTCAAGTCGGCGGCGGGAAGTGGAGAGGGGACTTCGGGTAGCGATAGGGCTGGGAAAGAGGATATGATGTGTGTACGTGGGGGGGGAGGGTGTCTGAGGGGAGGAGATGACAGATAGGAAGAAGTTTGAGAGGAGGATGAAAAGTGAAAGTGTAAACTTGTGACCTCTGCTCCAGGCTGATGTTGAGTGCATACGACGAGCTCTTTGTGCATAGACTGAACATCCTCGTTGCTTTTTCGTAAGCAGTTTGATATTATTCTGAAGATCTTTCCTCCCCTCCCCCTCCATCCTTGCACCGCCACTTTCTCCCTCTTTCCCAGACCTCCTTTTTCTCCTCCTCCTCCTCCTCCTCCTCCTCCTCCTCCCCTGCTTTCCTCAGTTGATCTCTTCAGCTCCCCTTGACCATCTCCCCTTGTTTTCCTACCCTCTGCTTGCTTCACCTCCATCGTCTGCAGCATGAAGAACAACTCCAACCTCTTGTTCGCTCCTGCAGCCTCCGCCCTGCAGTTCTGCTCTCACGACAAGAATTCGTTCATCTGACAGCATGCGAGGAAAGATCTTGTTTCTTCTCCTCCTGCGGGCCTTGGCTGCCTCTCCCCACGACCGTGGCCGTCTTCCACTACCCACCCTCCGACTTACAGGAGGAAGAGCAGGAGCAGGAGCAGGAGCGGGAGCGGGAGCGGGAGCAGGAGCAGGAGCAGGAGCAGGAGCAGGAGATGGCGTACAGCACAACGTGAAGATCCTCAGGTTATGTGCGTTAGCGTGCCAGGCTGCCTACCATGTTGACTTCCACGAGTACGTCGACTCAGTCCGGATGCAGGGCCCCTCCTCCTTCCTGGAGAAGCACTGCAGAGGGGAGGAGACGAGGCTCACTGTGGAGTCGGCGACCAAGTACTGGACGCTGTGCAGGACCGAGGACGGTCTGCGGATCTTGGCATGGAGGGGTACGAACGCCAAGAACATTGAAGACATCATCACGGACCTGGACTGCCTCCCGGCCGAAGTTCCGGAGCTGGCGGAGGGCAGCGTACATCCAGGGTTCCTGTCCCGGGCAAGGAGCATGGACTATGGTTGGCTGACGAAGAAGGTTCAAGAGTCAGAGCAGATGATTGTTTGCGGGCACTCGCTCGGGGGAGCGGCGGCCACCCTGTGCAGCACGCTGCTGTCTGCCTCGCTGCAGAGGTACAAGGCGGAGATCAGGAACCATGTGCTGGGCAAGGTGCTGCTGACCTGGCCCGCTCGCTCCTTCCTTCCTCTCCCTTGCTGGGGAACGCTCAATCTTTTCCTCCTCCCTCCTCCCTCCCCTGACCTTCGATCCCTTGCCACCAACACCATCCTTTCCTCGTCCTCGTTGGCTCTCCTCCCTGGCCTTCTCCTCTCCCTCTGCTGCTCTCGCCTGCTCGCCTGCTCCTCCCTCCCTCCCTCCCTCCCTCCCTCCCTCCCTCCCTCCCTCCCTCCCTCCCTCTCTCCCTCCTTGCTTCTTCCCCGCAGTGCTAACGGGTGTTCCAAGACTGC